GATCTCCTGACCTCGTGATCCACCCGCCTCGGCCTCCCAAAGTGCTGGGATTACGGGCGTGAGCCACCACACCCGGCCTTGTTGTTGTTTTTGAGATAGTATCTCGCTCTGTTGCCCAGACTGCACTGCAGTGTTGTGATCTCGGCTCACTGCAGCCTCCACCTCCTGGGTTCAAGCAGTTCTCCTGTCTCACCCTCCTGAGTAGCCGGGACTGACAATAGGCGCCTGCCACCACACCGGCTAACTTTTGTATTTTTAGTACAGACGGAGTTTCACCATGTTGGCCAGGCTGGTCTCCAACTCCTGACTTCAGGTGATCCACCCACCTCAGCCTCCCACAGCGCTGGGATTACAGGCGTGAGCCACCGTGGCTGGCAATTTTTTATTTTTTGTAGAGATGGGCTCTCAGTATGTTGCCCAGGCTGGTCTCAAGTTCCTGGCCTCAAGCAATTCTCCTACCTCTGACTCCCAAAGTGCTGGGATTCCCCACTGTGTCTGCTCACTTGTATATCACACACATGCATAATCCGCACATATACATCAGCATGTACACAGCTCATGCAGGGAGAACCCTGATGCCCATGGTTTGTTGACATGGGGTTGCGGGACCCCTAGCACACAGATGGCCTTCTCCCCTGTAAGAATCAATATGAATGTACACGTTTTGCATCTAATTTCAGGAGGGCATGGATCCCTCAAACATCCATCTGTGGACCTGTGAGGACACCATTGACCTCAGCTCAGCCTCTGCTCTGACCACAGTCAGGGCTCCTGCAACCAGGCTGCTCTGTGTCAGCAGCACCACCTGGTGGCCGGTATGAGCCATGGTCCTGACTCCACTTTAAGAAAAACTCTTCATTTACTTATGTTCTTTTGTCGAGATGGGGTCTCCTGTGTTGCCCAGGCTGGCCTCAAGCAAACCTCTGTCCTCAGCCTCCCAGTGTTGGGATTACAGGCATGAGCCACTGCCCCTGGTCTGACTCCACTTTTTAAATTCTTCTTTTTTTCTTTCTCTGAGACAAAGTCTCGCTCCATCGTGCAGGCTGGAGTGCACTGGCGTGATCTCGGCTCACTACAAACTTCGCCTCATGGGTTCAAGCAATTCTCCTGCCTCAGTCTCCCAAGCAGCTGGGATTATAGGCGCACATCAGTACACCTGGATAATTTTTGTATTTTTAGGGGAGATGGGGTTTCACCATGTTGGCCAGGCTAGTCTTGAACTCCTGACCTCGTGATCCACCCACCTCGGCCTCCCAAAGTTCTGGGATTACAGGCATGAGCTACTGTGCCCGGCAACTTTTAAATTCATTTTATTAAAAAAAATTTCAAACATTCTA